GCTGCAACTACTTTATTGCGCATAGCTTATCGTAGAATCTTTTAGACACCATGTGCAACACATTGTATAGACCTCATGCTTGAGGCTCTTGGTAGTTTAACCGAGATATCAGGTGCAGTGAAGAAGGTAAAGTCAGTTACAAATTTCATTTATAGCCACCATCTCACCCTCAGCATGATGCGTAGATTTACAAAGAAGAAAGAGATTGTGAGGCCTGGAGTCATGAGATTTGTGGTACTTATGCCTAGATAGCCTACATTCGAGGAGAGTGTAGTTGAGACATATGTTTACCTCAAATGACTGGAGCATGCAAGTGGTCCAAAGATCAGGTTAGGAAGAAAGTGAGAGATATTATCTTTTCTAAGGCTTTTTGGCGAGGGGTGAAGGCCGCTGTTAAGGTATTTTTTCATCTTATCAAAGTCCTTCGCATGGTTGATAGTGACAAGGCTTCTACGGGCTACATATATGAGGCTATGGAGAACTACAACAGAGAGATAGCCCAAAATTTTGATGATGTTAAGAACTGCTACAAGTCTGTTTGGGAGATTATTGATGAGAAGTGGGATAGGCAGCTACATCGGCCATTGCCTGCAGTTGGTTATTATTTGAACCTAGCTTTTTTCTTTATATTGACAAGGATATACACACAAATGACACAATTATGACTGGATTTAATAAAGTGTGTAGATGTGTTAGTCCCTGATATTGATATCCAGGATATTATATGCGCTGATGAGCTGATAAATTACAAGTGCTCATTAAGATCTTTTGGGAGTCCAATGGTGATGAGGCAAATGACCAAAATTGATCTAGGTAGTAATAATATTCTTAAGTTCATCAAGTTCAAGTAATCAAGTTTCATTTTTACAATTTTATTACTTATTTATGATTTTATTTTATATCTTTGCAGCCAATTGGTGGAGCCAACATGGGTGTAGTTCTCCAAATTTACAAAAGTTGGCCATTCGGATCTTAAACCTAACCACTTCCTCATCCGGTTGTGAGCGCAATTGGAGTACTTTTGAAGAGGTAAGGCCGTAAGGGTAATTTGTATAATTGTATTAATCATACCTGAACCATAGATTTTAATTAGTTTCATTTGATTTTGTTAGATTCATAGAAAGAAAAGGGGCAGGCTTGAATCAAAGAAGCTCAATGACCTAGTCTATATCAAGTATAATTGATTCTTGAAGGACAGATTTGCTAAGAGAGACCCCATCGATCAAAAAATATGGACAATGCTATGGAGTGGTTAGTTGATAATGATGAGGTCAAGGGGTATGAAGGATTGACATGGGACATGGGACATGGATGCTTCAGAGACATCAGCTGACCCTCCTAGGGCCACTAGATCTTCTACGCAGAGAACGAGGGTGGAGGAAGAGAAGGAAGAAGAGGCAGATTCAGAAAAGACGGAGGAGAACGACCAATATGTTGAGAAGGGTGATAACTCCGATGAATATGATGCAAATGCAGCTGACCCTACTTTTTATGATGATGAATGATGAATGTTAAATAATTATTAAACTTTGAACTTTGATTGAACTATTGAAGATTCTTTTGAGTCTTCGAGTATTACTTCCATTTTTGTTTTCTTCCTCTTGGTTATGTATTGTGGATAGTGGATTTGTAGTTCCACTGGTTTGATACTATTTGGTAACTTTGGTTTGGTAATTTGGTTGGTTGGTAAATTTTAAGTTTTAATTGGATATGGACCGACTTATGCTTAAGCTTATGGAGTGTGTGCAAAATACTTTGAATTCTGATGTGCCCTAAATACTTAATTCTTATATTTTATACAATATATAACTGTAGAATCCTTTTTGGATTCCACTGGCCCGCGCAAGTTCTGGGTGCCCGCCTAGGCGCTGGGCGGCCTGAACCCCCAAGGCCGCCTAGGACCCGCCTAGCGCTTTTTGAAACACTGCCTGTCATTTTCCATGAGTGTGATTAGCCGCTGCCAATGCAATCCTGGATTGGAACATTGGAAGGAAGTTAAGAGAGTACTCAGATATTTGAAAAGGACCACGGATTATGCACTCGCATATAGAGGGGGGTGAGCATAGTCATACAAGGGTACTCAGATGCGGACTATCCAGGAGACCTTGATGATGCCAAGGTGACATCTGCGTATGTCTTCATGCTGCTTGGCGAGGCAGATTCTTGAATGGCAAAGAAACAAGATGTGGGAGCACTGTCCACTATGGAATCTGAGTACGTGGCATGTTGTCAAGCAACCAAGGATGCTGCATGGATAAAGAAGTTTCTCAATCAGCGTACCTGTGAGATACCTGTGTGCGAAGATCTTCTATGACAACCAATCAGCAAAATGTGTATCTAAAGACCCATGTTTTCACAAGAAGTCCAAGCACATCAAGCCAGCATATTATAATATTCGAAACGAGGTCCAACTTGGAGAGATAGAGATTGTGCATCTCCCCACAAAGGCAATGATTGCAGACCCTTTAACTAAGGGGTTAGTGATGAATGTGTTCGCCAAACATGTACATGGGATGGGGCAAAGAGAAAGTGAGGAAGAGAAATTGTAAGGCTTTCAAAGGCCAAGTGGGAGATGTTGGGTTTTTGTGACCATTTAAAGGCCTTATGAGAGCATGTACTGAAAAATATATAAGGAATTATTGACTTCAGTGGGAGTATAGTCTAGCTTGGACTGAAGGGCATTAATAATGCCTTAGACTCACATGAGTTTTGACTGGCTATGACTCAATGTGAAGTACAAAACCCATAGTCCTGGGCATCGTGTAAGCACAACCAGTAAGGGTTTCGATGTGGGCTTATCCCTAGATGAGGTCGGAGATGTGCCTTGGACAGTTAGCCAGGAGACATGGATTTGACCCCTGCGTGTGATGGATGGCCCGCGAGGACAAAGGCTTAAATCCTCATCATTACCACCACACGGCATGTACACTAGATAGCCATCCGGGAAGCGACCATTTGGATAAAGGTGTGATGTGTAGATGTGTGGAAGAGATGACTCCCTGCAACGATATAGTAGTTGGAAGAACCCATGGAGCATACTGCTGAAATGGGCCATGGATTTATGCTCAGGGAGGGACCTGTAATCCATGGTCTAAGATCGTATCTTCTCCACTTATTGGCTAATTTTGACGGTCTAATCATGAACTCCTATGATGGGTTGTGCGTGTAATGAGATGCGGTCTCTAGAGAGGATAGAGTTCTCAGTATATTTGTCGTAATCATATCTCCATGGATCCAATTCCCATCAAATCTTCTTTAATATATTTAAATAAATATTAATTATTTTATAAATAATGAAAATGAATTTTAGACCCCACTAGGTATTTTATTTTATTGAAAACTTATTTTTATCAATTTTCTGGATTTATTTTTAATCAAAGAGAAAAATAAAACATTTGGAGGTTTTGTAAGATTTATTTTAATATCTAAAAATTAATATTAATATATTGGGGGCCCTATGGGGTTCAATGGGCTTACCAATGTGTGGGGCGTGGGGCCCACATGGACACGACATGGGTGGTGTGCCCCACCCCATGCATACTTTCCTTATTGTTTCATGTGCCTTCTAAGGCATGTGATGATTTGAAGTTTTGGAAAATTAAGGTGTAGAGATTTGAATTGAAACTAGATAGGAAAGAATAAGATATCAAATAAGTATGAATTAAATACTTTCTTTACACAAAATATTTTATGGGAATGGAGTTATAGAAACAGAGGGATAAGATTCTACATCATTCATTTAATTATGATGGCTGATCTAAAGAATGAATGATTGAGATCTCTTCACCCCATAGTCTTCAAGATCAAAGGTCAAGATTAAACCTCATTATGATGGCAAAACCCTAACCTAGAAGCCCTAGCCTCTTGTCTATATATACTGGCTATGGGGGTTCTATATCTCATCTCCCTCTCTCTCTCTAACCAACCAAAGGGGGCATGCCCCCCTCTAGCCCTCTCTCTCTCCTTTCTCTCATCCAAATTAGGATTTAGGAAAGAGTTAACCCTTAAGGGATGGCACACCCAAGTCACACAAGCCCTAGCCTTAGGTCCTTGCCTCATGCTCATGTGTTGAGCCTTGGTCAAGGAAACCCATGTGATGCTATCCAAGGTTTTTTTGCCTAGGTTTCCCTAATTGTGACGTGTGTTCTTGAATTAAAATCCCGTGCACCATCAGTGGAGGTGACCCAGTTTGGGGTATACGAAGTCATTGGGGTAACCTAAGGCAAGGTACACGTTTCATATTCCGTGCTTTTGTTGTTTCTATTGCTTATGTAATTTTTAGTTCTTCATGATGAATGTAATTTTCTTTTAATGGCATGCAAGTGAGAGGTCTTGGCTATTTCATTGAGTCAAAATTGTATTTTGGAACAACTGATCCGGGTGGCAATACGTATAAAAGAATAGAAGAAATTTTTAATTGGTATTCACTTGCCCGGTCACATAGTCCACCTTTCAGTTTGGGGCCCTAAAAATGTCCTAAGAACTGCCTACCGGACTTAAATCCTTATCCTAAGAACTCCTAGGGGACCTAGCATGTCCTTGTTCCTAGCTGCCCACCTAGGCAGGCACATCTGGTCAACTAGTATCAGTAATATTGAAGGTCATATATTTATGAATACCAGACAATTAGAACTCATTGCTACCAAGCCTTTATTACATACAGATTTGAGCAAGAAATAGATGCTGATCAGAAATACTTAGCATTTTTTATGTTCAAAAAGGAAACAGAAAGGAAAAGTAACAAGATATTGTCAAATCACTAAGAACATGATCATAGAGATAAGTGTTCAATTTGATATCCTACGAGTGAAAGCTGTGACTTTCATAAGGCAAGAGAAAAGGTAACTAACAAAACCAACTTTAGTTATCAAAGCTAAGAGCAGACTGACAAAACCATATTTAGTTATGAAAGCTAAAAGCAGATTCTTTCAGTTTTCTCTATGCAAAATAAAAACAAAAAAAAACAAAATTAGTGTGTTAAGAAGAAAAAGTTTGAATACCCATTTGAAGCCCTCCTTTTCTTGCAAGGCAGCACCAATCAGACTCTCCCCAAAGTTTGCAACCTGAGAAGCTATCACACATATGACTACTTCTGCCACATGTATCTGCTTCATGGAAAGGATCATACTATCAGGTCTTTAGTAGGAATTCACATGGAAAGGTATTGCAAAGTATTTGATGTTAGGGAAATTTATCAAATCACACCTAAGAGTTGAACTATTTAGCATTTGACTCATATCTTTTCATCAGACTTGAAATTGCCCATCATTCTTTTGATCAAATTTCAAATGGCCCATCAAATGACATCATTAAGGGTTTTGAAATCATCAGATCATACCTAAGGTGAAATGTTTTTTAATAGCTTAACTTTTAGGTGTGATTTGATAAATTTCTCTTGATAACACAAAAAAGGAAAAAAACTTATGATTAGGACTTGCAAAAAAGCATGGTTCCATTCCCATTCAGGAAACAAAAGGAGATGGAAACTGCATAGGAAGCGACCGAGTGCAATTCAATTACAACCTCATTAATGAAAGCCCCCATTATGGGGAAAGTTTCAAAGTATTAAATATGGCAATATTTATGATCGAATTAAATCACAAAAAGACGTAAAAATAAAATATAAAAATTGAAAATTAGTACTGTTTCATTTCATGGATCTCCACATGCTATTTTGTAGGCTTAACAGTCAATACAATCATAAAACTCTTACTTTATTAATATTTTTTAATCCTCTCAATAAGGTTCAGATACATCTGGCTGTGCCTAACTCTACGAAGCAAAAAATATCTTCATTTTTCTTCAAATGATATGTCGCCCACATTCTATCACATATCTTATTTTTTACCTCTTTGTACTAGGTTGGTGAGCAAGGTTTGAATAAGAGAGAAACTTTAAACCCTCCACCTCTTATATTTAGACACCATGTAACACTGCTGGAACAATATACCAACGAATTTCCTTTTTCATCACACCATTGTTTATGCTCTGCAAATTTGTTCTCAAAAGTTTTATTATAATAATTTTAGTATAAGAAACTTCTGCATTTCTTTTAAAGCATTTGAACATGCCAAACTACAGAGTCTGAATTCAACATTATACTCAAAGCCAAAAAGCATAGTAGTATTTCCAGAGAGCTGTAGGCCTCCTCTGGATGATGCCCCAATAAGCCATTTAGATGTTGTTGCAATGCCTTTTAGGTGACAGCCAGTTTATGGTTCCAGGCCTCCTTTGAAACCCAAACCTTTAGGTATACAGTAAAAAAAGTTGCCATTTTGTGGGTGAGGTAAAAAATGAACATGAAAAGTTTAATCCCCCTTGTAAAAGGCCATATTTTTGTTAGAAAACTAAACACATGTACAGAACATTACAAAACATGTGTGACAGCCAAACCAGGGCTGTTTAAACAAACAAAAACAGAGTTTCTCCAATTGTAAGTTGAGTTTCCAAGCAAACTCTCAGAAGCATAATTTTCATTTGGGATTTTTTTCTTTTTAGAGTTAGAAAAATTTTAGCATACAGACCTTGCCCAAGAAACAACTGATGCTGGCAAGAATAACAGAAGCTATGAATCCAGCAACGGTCCCTTCGAAGCTCACAGCTCCTTCCGTTCCTTTTGGGACTACCTTCAATGTCGTCACCAGATACCTATTCTCACCAAATAAGTTTCCAGAGTTTATAAGCTTCACATCACTTAAGAAAGAATTACGTGAACAAATTTTCTTTCTTTTTTGGTATTTGGTAGCAGGTTTCATTTATGTAATATTCAGAAGAGAAAGCAGAAGAGAGTTGAGTTGGCTTGCAAAACAATATGGATAAACAGTATGCATGGTGCCACATAAATGTGAATTTCCGTGATGACGCTTTCTAACCCTTAGAATTTGGACATGGATAAACAACAATATTCGCTGTAGCAGGCTGGCCCACCAACCTCCATGCATATTATGTCATGCAAAGAAACAAGTTAACTCCATATGTTTCTCCCACATTGATCCCCATATGACCATTCCTATGGTTTAAATATTATTTTCTTTTATTAACCACTTTCGTAATATGAACCTCAGAACACTTCTCTCCATAGTTTTGTCTTTTCAAGGTTTGAAGTAGCATGTTTCAAAGACATCCCATTCACTAAGCAACTTCAAAATAACGAAACAATTAGTGTGTTTAAATCAATGTTGACAAGTACACTTTGGTACTGCGTTAGTTTGGCTGTAGAAGAGTGCATTTAAGCAATTTGACTGCTTAAGGGAAAAGATCAGGTTCCTTTTTCATTTTAAAAAGTTCATGAAACATATGACAGGCCAAAAAGTTAACAAGATCAAGAAAAACATATAATAATCAATGATTTCATGCAACTTCCTATGCTTGGTTTCATTCAAGAGCAGGGCATTGGCCCAAGTTCTATCTGATTCTGGTTTTTTGCTTGAGAGATTCATCCATAGTGATGATTGACTAACGTGAATTTTCAGGTATCCCTCAATATTTTCTACTGAGATCATATGTTTCATGTGTACATAATTATGGCACATTCAAGGTACCACCACAAATATTTCCATCAATTTGAGTGGAACGAACATTTCCCCCTGGCCTTTTCATAATAAGATTTATAGATTTTCGTTATACACTTTAAGTATGCAAGGATTCATGGGATTATATTGACATTACTGCACCAGAGCCATGTAAATCAGAAAAGGAAGCTCCTAGGTACATTAAACTGAGGGAAACACAAACGATCAAAAATTGCGGAGAGAATACATGGGTTACCAACCACGTTAGCTCCTAGATAATTGCTACAGTTTTTAGGGAGGTTAGAAACCACAGGACACAGACCACACAAATAGAATTATATCCATACAAATGATGGCATCTAAAATAACTATTAATGCAACTCAAAGCACATGTAGTCGCATAAAAGAGCAGTACACTTACGTTGTTTTGCCATAAGCCTTCCCAATCTCACTGGAAACAGTATCACTCAGCTTTGTACAAAAACTTGCCACAAACCCAAGTTGCCAAAGTGCAGAAAGTTGTGATCCACCAATCCCGTAGATTGACAGAAATGCACAAAAGCATCCAGCAGCACTAGAACCAATAACACTACCAGGGCCCCTTCTTCCTCTCCTTTGCTCAGCCACTCCTTGAGCCTCCTTTTGCGCAATCTTCAACTTTGTTGCGGCTGTGCCCTGTTTGGCATTTAATTTAAGAAAAAAATGGTTACAGCAAGAAAGCCTTTTTGTTCATGATTACGATCATAAATATTGCAAGTATTGTTTAACAACTCAAACTTTGAGATCTGATTGGAAATTGCCAAAACATAGTCGACTTGCAAAGTTAAATAGTAAACTGCAAACAGGTTAAAAACAAAAACCCTACTGTGCAGGGTAGGATGCGAACCTTGTTTCTCAGAATGTCAAAGTGCGTTTTCTAAGCATTTCGCTAGCTATCATCTATGTGATAAAAACATCACTAAAAAGTAGAAAAACCCCTGGTATATCTTATTTTTTTCATTTATAGAAGAAGGTAAGTGGGCAAGTCCAGTGAACTTGGAGAGTTCTCCAATTTGGAATCAAGGTTTTAAGCACATATTTCCAGAGATCCACTCATTAACCTGGACCAGGCAAATGAGTATCAACAGAGCATTATGTATGGTACTAAAAATAATATAGAATGGTAAAATTGAGAAATAAACAAGTGGAGAACAATTTTTTTTTTATATTAAGTGGCAAAGTTCTCGTAACCCACTTTTACTGTTCTCTTTGTCATTTATTTCTTGGGGTATGCATGTCACCTATTAATCATCCTTTCTTGATCTTTACAATACACCACAAAGGTATCAAAATGAAGAACTCCTTAAATATTGACATGGTAAAAAAGCCTCACTGAAGCCTCAGGTTTCTAGGTCGCATCTCTTTCAGTGCCTGGGGATTAAAGTGACGTGAAAACAAGTTGTAATGCGACTACAGGTATATAAAGGAAAAAAAAACATCATTTTCCCTTATAGTACATCAAGAGACTGAAAAGATAGATAGTTGATCCATAATAGCAAACTTCCCCAGAGAACCTACTATATCGATTAGCATTCCCCTTCAAAATGGTGACAGGAAATCAATTAATCCTAGCTTGCTAAAACAAAACTGTGAATCAGTATTCAGCGGCTTTAGTTCAAAATGCAGGTCACTGAATTTTCAGTTCAACTATCAATGCATAGATCATTTCAGCTTCCTATAGACAAACTAATAATCTCGATATGCTTATATAATGTAGGGAAGACTAAAAGATAAAACTAAAGGGATGAAAGATTATACCCCTCTCAAGGTCTGCAAGGGAGTCCATCCCAAAAATATCCTTTCACAAGACCCAAAATAATTTTTTTTTTTGTTTTTTATTATTTTTCTTGTCCAACTACACATTTATAGAAGAAAACCCGTAAACCTAACTTGCTCCCAAATAAACCCTAATCAATATTGAATCCTAAACCTCCATCTCTTAAAAATTAAATTCCAATTCCACCCCATAATTCTTTACAACTAAAAGATACATAAATACCCTAAACGAAAACTAGAAACCCAAAATAATCCTAAATCTAAAATCTAGAAAAGAGAACAATATGAAAATAAAAACCCATTACATCAATCTCCTGGGGTTAGGACAAGCTCAACCTCGAGCTCATGGAATTCGAAAATTTTCCTTCATTATCTTCTCCACTTTGTTCCAACTAAAAATTTTCACCCTTTCTCTTATTAAACTTTTGAGTACTGAACTTAATCAAACACAGTTGTGATATATCTGAAAAATCGACTATTTGTTTTTCATTATCAACTTCCAGAGCATGTTCTGGTGTGTGACGAAACCTTGAACTGGTGATCAGTTTTTGATCTTCCACCTCTTCATATTCCTGTCACACGTGTTGCAATCTGTAGAGTAAATCTTGTAGAACTTGTACAATTCTACCAAGATATTCTGTTAGGTCTTTTTTGAATCTCTCAATTATTTGACCCACATGCTCCATAGTTCGATTGGTAGATGTTGTGATAGCATTATCGTATATGGATCTCAAGACCCTCATATCAATTGATGCAGGGAGGAGGGGGGGAAATACAAACCAAATAAATAAATAAATAAATAAACAAAGGGCGAGAGAATATACCCTCTCTCAAGATATACAAGGGAGTCCATCCTAAAAGATCTTTTTACAAGACCCAGAATAAACACTTCTTCTTTGTTCTATTCTTTTCTTCTTCAATTACATATTTATAAATGAAAACCCTAAAACCTAACGAGCTGCAAAAGAAATCCTGATTAAATCCTCACACTTCATCTGTTAAAACTTAAACTTTCAATTCTACCCCTCAATTCTATACAACTAAAAAAGACACAAACGCCCCTATGAAAAACTAGAAACACCAAATAACCCCAAACCTAAAATCTAGAATATAGCAAGTAAAAAATTAAAAAATCCATTACATCAATATCCCTCTCAAGGAACACTGATTTCAATCATGTGTGCATGGTTTTTGTTAAATAATAACTTGTTTTATGTATTGGGGCATTTCTATCATTCTTATATGCTTTAGGATACTTATTTTCATTGAGGGTATTTTGTCTTTTGTAAGCCCTAAACAAACATTACAAATAAAGATACTAATGGGAAATGGGGTGCTTGAATCTTATGTCACTCTCTCCTATCTTCTCTTCCATCTTCTCTTTTTCTTTTTCTCTTATTTTCCCTTTCTCCCTCTAGTGTTGACATTTTTTATTGTTCATGATATTGTTCATGCCACTATTCATGATATTGTTCACGGCACTGCTCATAACTGTTCACGAGTACCATTCACATGATATCAGAGCATTGATATGCTTACTGTCTTGTTCTTTTTGTCTTAAAAAAAATAGAGAGAGGGAAAAACCTAATTATATGTGCTGATTTCAACAAGAAATATTCCTTTACGTGTGTAAGGCCAACATGGTGGCCTCTGTGTATTGTGCATGTTCATGCCATTGAAAAGTTCACCTCTTGGATGTGAAAAGCAGAAACTAGTGTGAAATGCTGAAAGGTGTGTTGCGGAAGTTGTGAATGACTGGTTTAGGGGTTTCCTCGTACATCATAGTGGAAAGAGCTTTGTGCATCGGCTTTTAAACAGACAAGTGTTCTCCCTCTAGTTGATTGAGAAGTTAATGTGTGTATTATCTGCTATTTCGTGCTTGTAGATTGTTGGATTTATAAATTTTTAGCATGTTTAAGGTGTTTTTAGTGTGATCTCGTGTATACTTTCATACCTAGTTTATTGTTCTATGGTTATGGCCACAGAAAGTAAACCTGAAGTTCCTACTGTCAATGACATAATAGGAATTCCAGCAATCTCTAAAAGATTAAATGGGCCCAAGAACTTTAATGGGCCCGATACATAAAGGTTTTTTTAGGTGAAAGGGGTAAGATGAAATTTTTAACTAAAGATGATCCAAAAGACTCAAAAAGTGGGTGTGATGAGTGGCTTAAGGAGAACTATCAGATTGTGACATGGTCATGGAATAGTATGAAACCACATGTGAGAGCTGATGTTATGTTCTATGATACTACTAAGGAAGTGTGAGAAGCTGTAAAGGAAATGTAATCCTCTAATAAAAATATTTTTCGGATTTATCAATTTTATTAGAGTATATGTCTTTTAAAGCAAGGAGATAAAAGCCTTAGTGATTATTATAGTTCTCTTCGAGGAATGTGCGAAGAGTTGAATCTTTAGCAACCCCTAACTAATGATATGGAACCCCTAACTAATGATATGGAACTTCATAAAATGCAAAGAGAGGAACTTAGAGTTGCAAAGTTCCTATCTGCCTTAATCCTGAGTATCATGTTGTTGGGGGCAGATCTTAGCTAGTAGTGAATTTCCCTCTCTCAATAATATATATCTCGCCTTCAATGGGTTATTATATCTTCTTCTTCATCGGCTACCAGCACTGCTAATGGGTCTGCTCTAACCTCCTCCATGGGTAAAGGTGATGGCAGATGCTGCGGTGGTGGAAATAGAGGGTGTGGTCAAGATTCAAGAGGAGGTCGTGGTAGAGGTCGAGGCAACACGGAGTGCACCCATTGTGAACGAACAAATCACACTATTGAAAATGCTAGGGTAAATTTGGTAAGGCTACTTGGGAAAATTACGTGTCCTATGTTCTGAAGGTGATGGTGTGCACCTAGTTGGCTCCAACGATCAAGACCAAATTCTACATTCTACTAGTGACTTAATGCTGCTCTCGCAAGAAGAATACAATAAGTTAATCAAGAATAGCCAACAGCCATCTATTCATCCTCCCCTTCCACTGCCACTCTAGCTAATACAGGTACTTCTACATTCCTTGCTTTTCAAAAGGCTTCTCCTTGGGTCATTGATTCAAAAGCCTCTTATCATATGACGGTGAGTCTTCTATGTTCTCGTCTCTCAATAAACCAGATGGTACTACTACTATTATCACTCCAGCCCATGGTTGTATCTGGTAAAGGCATTGTGTGTCCTACATCTTCACTCTCTTTATCTTCTGTTCTTTATGTTTTAAAGTTTCCATTCAGTTTATTGTTAGTGAGTAAATTAACTAAATCACTTCAGTGTTCAGCGACTCTCTATATCCCTCATATTGTGTTTTCTAGGATTTAAAGACGAAGAAGATGACTCGTGGCAGTCATGAGACAAATGGGCGTTACTATCTTGATAATAGTTTTGTGGGTGTTGCTCTACATTCCAGTGTTTCCTCTCCTCGATGGCATTGCAGACTTGGTCATCCAATGATCAATAATTTGAAGATGCTAATCCCTTCATTAAAGAGTGTGAGGTTGTGAGTTAGGAAAGCATCATAGAACTTCTTTTCCTTCTAAAACAAATAAACCAAGTCTGTGTCTTTTTCAGATGTTCATTCAAACAATGGGGATCCTTCTAGAGTTCAGAATCTATGTAGTTACAAATGTTAATTTGTGTTGATAATTTTTCTCAAATGACATGGTTATATTTAATGAATTACAAATCTAAGGCCTTGTCTATTTATTGATTGTTTCATAAAGAAGTTCAAACTCAATTTGGAAGGAATGTTTGCCTTTTGCGTTTAAATAGTTTCAAAGAATATTTGTCTCCAGATTTCTAAAATTCTTTAGCCACAAATGCCATTTTGCATCACACATCATATGCGCATACTCCCCAACAGAATGGGACAGCAAAAGAAAAATCTGTTATATAATAGACGTAACTCATGCTTTATTGTTGAATATAAATATGCCCAAAAATTTTTGGGGAGATGTTTTGACAGCTTGTTATTTGGTAAATCGTATGCCTTCCTCTATTTTGGATGGAAAATCACAAAATCAGTTTTTTCCACAAAAGAACCGAGGAAAAATTCTCAAATTCTCGTGTGTTTGATTCAAATAAATCAAGGTTTGATCTATTTGGATGACGAACAAGCCCAGATAAGGCCCTAACAATAATTCAATCCACCATCAGTAATTCTTTAGATGAATCAATTTTGACAGCTCAATGTTGTAAAAGTGCTATGCAATACTTGCACAGAAAAATAATTGGGAGAATCCTATAAACTTGGTTTGATTCCCCCAAATTTCAACAAATCTCAACCGAGATGTTCTCAGCCTACTCACATGGTACTCAAGCGAGTCTATAAAATACTGACCCAAGTGTTGTAGGGTGACACACTGAGCGAGTGTGTACACTATACATCCATACTTGCCTCGGCACATAGCCGAGGCCGAGTAACGTGGCCGAGCCTGAGTGAACTCAGTAGAGTCTTCAACATCGTTTATCTAAGGGCCACTGGGTCACATGGAAAGAGCGTGATATTGTCCACATATGCCATTTCGGTCATTCACAACAAGTCAAGTGGAACAAGTTTTCGTAGCACATGTTTTTAAGTCGCACAGGATGCCTTCCATCATAGTTAATGACCAAAGTGTAGTCTTCACAAGCAATTTTTGGATAGTACTTCCATTTGCAGGATACCAGCTCCAAATGAGTTCATCATACCACCCACAAATGGATCATGCCAACAAAGGTGATCAATAGGCGTTTGGAGATGTATTTGTTGTGTCACTCAAGCTTCCAACCCAAACACTAGGTGAAGTGGTCTCCATGGGTAAAATGGTAGTATAATACCATCCTTCACTCCTCAACTTGGATGACTCCGTATAAGGTTGTATATAGCCAAACACCACCCAAGCTTGTAGTACAACCTAGAATCCACTAAGGTCCAATATGTGGAATTGTGGATATTATATTAAGAAGAAAAGACCAGATTCTTTGTTGTTCTGATGGAAAACCGATAAAAAGCTCAACAACAAATGAAGCAGCTGATAAGAATCGATCCGAACGATACTTGATGTGGGTGATATGGCCTATCTATGTCTTCAACCATACTGGAGACATGAATAGCAGCTAGAGGATCACCAAAGTTATTTCCACGTTCCTATGGTCTGTAGTCTCTATCACATCATACAAAAGATTGGTTCAATAGCTTACAAACTTGAGCTACCACTAGTGTAAAAAACTAACCTGGTCTTTCATATTTCATATTGTTGCTGAGAATTTACTGTCTCTCACCGACGACAGAATTGTCCAATAGAGCCACAAGCAAGTTCGAACCACCAGATGGTAAATAAAAATCATAAGACAAGTCACAGAAGTCTTAATACAATGGGCACTCATGAATTGGGAGAACTGACAGAAGTTTCACGAGAGATTCTCCCAATCCCATCCTTGAGGACAAGACTGTTGTCGATGGGAAGTTATCTCCAATTTTTAATTTCAAATTAAAGTCTGAATGATTTCTTTAAACAAGAAGGTTTTTGGAGGACATGTTTAGGATTGTTGCGGATAATGTTACTAGAAGTTTCGTTCTCTTCCGTATCCTTGATTTTAAATGGATTTGGGTAATCATAAGGGACAACAAGTAACTTTTATTTTTAGTTAGAATTAATTTTATCAAAGGCAAATACATAAAAGGACTTGTAATGTGAGAGTTGTAAATTTGATATCTTAGAGGCAATTTGATACCTTAGAGGCAATGTGAGAGTCTCATAAAAGGACTTGTAATCATTGAAAGAACAAATCAATGAAACATATATGTTTTGGGGCACATCACTCCCCCTTGAAATTCCAAAAACGTGTTCTTGTTATCCATATAACAAAGACAGAACAAAAAATACAGAAGCTCAAGTCTTTACACATAGCATAGGACCAATAACACATTTGAAATTGCTCAAATCGAGCAGCATTCTTAATACATGGGCAGGCTCTACCAGCATCAATTATAGAAGTTGCAGAGTAATAAAAAACAAAATTCCTCGACTTAAACCTCAATAAGCGTTTCACCTACTAATGGATCCATCTAAGGTCTTTCTTCCCGAGCCAAGTAGATCTATTAAGGTCTTAACCACATAATTACAATTATACTCATTACACTAGAAGTGACATCAAATCCCAGATAAGATCCGAATTAAGCACTTCAATATCCTCTTTTATCAGTTTCTAGTAGAAGAAGTTTACAGATTTCTTGTAGGAACAAGGTTCAGGATAGGACATTGGAGCAAAGGGCAGAATAGCAACTGATAAAGATTGATGCTCCAGACTTAATTGAAACAACTAAACTCTGTGTGTGTATGTGTGTGTGTGTGTTTGTGTGTGTGTGTGTGTGTGTGTGTGTGAGAGAGAGAGAGAGAGAGAGAGAGAGAGAGAGAGAGACTTACAATGATGAAATAGATGGCAACTAGCAAGAACCCAGAGGCCCCAAATGCCCTCCAAGTCAAAACTCCAAGCAAAAAAGCAGCCCCAATACCAGAAGCAGACAACCCAGATACAAGAATTGGAAAGCCCACCAGAAATATCAACAAATTGCACACAATGGCTGATTCCCAAGTTGGTATTGAAGCTCCAATGGGATCAAGCAAGCCTGATACAACTCCTGAAATCCCTGATGATTCTTCTGGGGTCTGCAGGGCCCTCAAGGGGATCATAGTGTTCAAATTTAATACATGGTTTCTGGGAATGGGGATTTTGAGAGTTTTAAGCGCACTTGGTTTTCTTTGATGGGTTGTTGCCAGATGCAAATGAGAACCATTCTTTTGGGATTGGATTGTAAAAGGGAACGTATTTATGCCGAGAGGAGAGAGAAAAGCCATGCTCTTTCGTGTGAGAGAAAATGATGTAATGCTGGCCGGCTGATTCGCTTTTCATACTGAGCTCTAGTGAGAATTAATTGTAAGAGTGAAGTCGGCATTTAATTCCCGAATCTCCAAAAGAAGCGATCGACCTTAAGGTGTGTAATAAAACCTTTGGCTCAATGTGGAATAAACACAAATGCAATACGGCAAAACTCCATCCAAACATGTTGTTTCAGTGTTAGAAAAATCCTCTAATTGATCCTCTCGACGTATGAATATGAAAGAAAAAGATTTTGAGTCTTAGAAATAGTGTATCTTGCAACACATTATCTAGACCGTCTATTTTCAAGATTTTCATATGTTTATAAATTTACTTGATTTAACTATTTTTTTAGTTTAAAATTTTATAATTAGATATGAAAATAGATTTTGAGATAAGGACACGGTTTTTATGCGGCCAACCCACACATTGTAGAAATGCGGGTTTGGCAATAAATTATATTTTTAAATATAATTTATGTTGGTAATTTTTGGCAATTCGATTAATAACTTTGAAAGTATAACATTATTGCAAAAGCATACACAAAAATCAACAAAGATAATTGTAATAATACAAAGTCTCATATTCGTTGATTCCCCAAATTCTGTATTTTAACTCACACTATTTATGTAATTTGATTACATCAAACATGCATACTATACATGTGTCATGGATGCCTCAACATCAGCATCCCCTTCCTCCCCCCTCGACATTACTAATTCAAAAAATGGGCATGCGTGTGGTGCTCAGGCTATGGTAGATGAAGCTTATCATGATTATCTTTCTGATGAGGACATAGTTGGAATAGATGGAGAATGACATCCTATAATTATAGATGCAGAGGCAGCCCTAGCAAAAGCTGTAAGTATTGAACCTGCAATAGAAATGGCATTTAGTGACGAAGATAAAGCTTATGATTATAATAATAAGTATGCAAAATTGGTAGGGTTTGGTATAAGAAAGGGAAGGACCAAATGGAAACAATAGTGGAAGAATTAGTTCGATTTTACAACATTGTAGGGAAGGTTTTCGTAGTGAGATGTATGATGGGAGTGAAAATGCTCGCCCCCACACGAAATGTAGATGTCATGCAAAGATCCACATTAAGAAAGATAACATAGATGGGTTATTACGAAGTTTGTTAAAAAAGGTAATCATTTTCTTACAACGTTCAACACGAATAGATTCATTCGCTCTCATATACCAAAAACAGTGAAAAAGGTGATTTACACATTGGAGTCTTCTATGGCTAAGTCTAGGATTATGATGGACTGCCTTATTAAATAGGCTGATGGAGAAGAAAATGTCCCTTTCATTGAAAAAGACCTAGAGAATCACATAACTAGAAAAAGAAATCATCTGAAAGGGAAAGAGGGTAATATTATCATGAGTTGGTTGCGTACGAAGAATGATTTGGACCCTAACTTCTTTTATAGAGTTTGACTTTATGAGGTGGGAAGATTGTCTAGTGTTTTATGGGTTGATTCAAAGTGTATATTGTCATACTGATTTTTTAATGATGTGGTAACCTCTGACACCACGTACCAAACGAAAGAATTCAGTATGCCCTTTGCCCAATCCTTGGAGTTAATTATCATGTAACACAATTTTCCTTGGATGTGCTCTCATTTTCAATGAGAGTACAAAAACCTTCATTTGGTTATTTAAGAACTGGCTAGAGGCAATGGGAGGCTTGGATCTACCTCGTCCAGGCTCCCTCGGGGACCCGGGTTCGATTGACCCTGTTTCGAACAGTCGCTTGACCTCACGAGGGCGTGTGTGACTCGTGTGTCACGTATGGATAGTTATGTCCAACTATGAGATGATTTTAAAAGTGATAAAGAAATGGACTCGAGCACCTACCTCACCACGGTTTGTGTTCGTGGGATAAGCCCAGGCTATTGCCCTCTTAGATCAATGAACGAAAGCCCTCCGGCTGTCCAGTAGCACAGTTTGAATTCGGCCCCCTCTCTAAACTCAACACCTCACCTCAACTTTTACTAAAAAACTGCTAAAGAAATCCAAATATAATGCACTCCTTTTTTATATGCTTCTTATGAGTAAATGGTTCTAGTTTTGGGGGTAGAGTAGTAGGAGAAATAAGTAAGAGAGAAGAGAAAGAAGAGAGTAAGAATAAGAACTTGATGAGGATTTATTTTAGAAGTAAGAAGAAGAACAAGATGAAGAAAGCAAAGTAAAAAGAAGTGAAGAGATGGCCCAAAAGAATTTGGGCAGCCTCCAGGCATAACTGCTCCTAAGAGGTATTACTAGAGACAAGGAAAGTACCAGGCTTGAAGCCTTAGTACCCAAAGGTTTTGGTAAGTGGAGTTACAGGACTGAGCATATAACTATGTCACTAAACCAAAGAGCCCCTTAAAAGTGATCAAGGGAGAGAAGAAAATGAGAGAGAAAGAGAGAGAGAGAGAGAGAGAGAGAGAAAGAGAAATGAAAGTCTATCATGACCCAAACATTGCGTGACTCAGTGGTTAGAGTAGTGAAAGGATCAGAACTCTAAAAAAAATTGACTCAATATTACCCTAACCTGAGTGACCTAATATAAGAGAATCAATATCTCTTATGACCCGACTTCACTGTACGAGCTGATGATTAGAGTAGCAATTTGAGAGTTAGAACCCTAGAACACTATCTCAAGATGACCTCGAATCGAGTGCTCAAGAAGTGAAAGAAACAATGAGCAAAGGGAGAGAGATAAGAGAATGATGAAGTAAAAACAAGATCAAGTGAATGAAGAATTAAAGTGTAATTTAGAGAGAGAAAAGGGTGTCTACGATGAGAGAAAATGAGATGAATGGGGTCAAAGGATGATGGACTCGCTTATGGTGCAGGTCCAGGCTCTAAAGGGGAGATGAGAAGGTAGAGGAACTAGGCCAAATGGAGAAATGAGATGGAAGTAGGACAGATAGGGTGTAAGATGAAAGTGGAGCGGATAGGGAAGAGAGATGAAAGAGCGGCGGCTAGGGTATGATAAGATGAAAGGGGCAGATAGGGGTGTGTCACGACCCCACTCCTTGACCCCTACTGTACATGCCAGAGGGTGACAGAGTGCGGGATCTCAATCGGGGGTGGCGAACGCCACTCAGGTGAGAGTGGCTCAACGCATTTAGAGATGCGGATCAAAGCAAATCACGAAAGAAAAAAAAAAGGCTCATCCACCAAACTCCAGAAACTGAACAGAACATAAAACCATAAAAAAACCATTTTATACATATGCATTCTCCAAAAATTCTTTTACAATTATGTTCAAGGCACTACAGGCCTGACAACAAGATTACAACACTTCATCAAAACAACTCTGAGGCACTGCAACCAAACACCTACTATTAAGAAGTTCCTTTGTTAAGCACCGAGCTTCAGTTGCCTGCCCCAGATATCCATTTGCCTGCTCTCAAGAGTCTGAAGTTATCACTCTACATAGATAAAAAAAGAAAAAGATGGATGAGCTAAAACCCCAATAAGTAGATCATCATCATTGCATTTCGGCCTATAAATAATGATGATTATAAACAGTGCCCACAATTCATACAGCTGTCACAAAGTGGAGTCATGCCTCACAGTTCTTTAGCAGTGTAAGAAGCTATAAAGTTCAAATATCAGAACATTGCACATTGCATGCTTATCACAGTAACGGGTCAGAAACTCAAACATGAAGCATAATACACCCATCAGAAGCTAGATTTGTCTACTCCTGAAGTAGATGTCTCATCGATCAAGCCAAGCCAATCCTGTAATTTAGGGCATCTACCCTCACTCAGGAGGGAAGACAATGACAAATGTGTGTCCCATTTCGTAATGTCCTCACTTACGCACATAATCCCCAGCACGCTTTGGGGTTTACGATAAGCAATAACCTTGCAAGACACAACAATCCCCTTATGCCTTCAGGCGAGAGGGCATTACACTATCATTGGGTGACCCAATACGTAGTGCCCGTATAGATTCGGGAGGTGCGACCCACCCTGTTATTCACATTCACATCCTGACCCCATTCCTATCATTGGTGTCGGGGTAAGATCATAATTGTTGGCATAACTTTCTTATTATAACAGTATCCCCCTACTAATGGGTGTCTCATTGCATAGTGGTCAGTATCACAATCATTAGATATAGTAAATTATTTGAAATAAACATGATATTTTCGCTTTTAGTAAAATTGTGAGATTTCCTTCTATTGTTTTGAACACTTAGACATTGTAAAATTCATGTACAAATGACTTCATTCTCCTATAAAATCATCATTCGAAAAACTGATATTTCTACACTTGATTGTAGTATTGCCACTACTGTAAGATTCACGCATTTTTGTATTTAATTTTATTTGTCCGTCTAAACACTATCTATTCCTATGAAATGATTAGTTGTGAATTTGCATTCCTATAAATTGTGATAATTCCGTATTTAATTTTGGCTTCCCCATAAGAGTTCTTCTATTGATACTAGGTTGTCTATCATGTTACATTCAAGAATGTCTTTTTGAACTACTACATTTCTGAAACTATTGCCCAAAATGTTTGACTTGCAACTTATAGATAGTTCAATGAGAGTGATGGTTATTAATTGCTTTAAGTGAATTCGCATTAATGATTTCAATGATATTTTGAATACATTATATTGTTGCTTTCTGATGTTTAAAGAGTTTCAAGGATAATTTAAGTATAAGTAGACCTATCTGGTTACGTCGTATGAACTATTTAGACTCATCCGGTATACCGGTGAGGTATGTTTGAATCTGCAGGGATTATTTAGACCTATCCGGTTATGCTGATAGGGACTATTTGGACTCATCCAGTACGCCTATGAGGTATGTTTGGACCTACAGGGATTGTTTAGACCTATCTGGTTACACCGGTAGGGACTATTTGGACTCATCTGGTACGCCGGTGAAGTATGTTTGGACCTGCAGAGATTATTTAGACCTATCTGGTTACGTCGATAGGGACTAGTTGGACTCATCCGGTATGCCAGTGAGATATGTTTGGACCTGTATGGATTGTTTAGACCCATTCAGGATGCTGGTGGGGTATA